TGGACATAATGTCAAGGTATGCTCACTTCATAGCCCTTAACCGTCCCTTTACTGCCGCAACAGTAGCTGAGAAGTTTTGGAAGAGGATCCACAGTCTGTATGGCACCCTAGAATCCAGTGTCACTGACAGAGATAGGATATTTTTGAGTAACTTTTGGCAATTATTGTTTAAATTTTTGTACACTTAGTGAAATTATAGCACTGCCTTATCTTCCTCAGAGTGATGGGCAGACTGAGCGGGTGAATAGATTCATGTCTGCTAGCAGGCCTACTCAGCGGAACCAATGGCTTTTCTCAGCAAAGTGGTGGTACAACACAAGGATTACAGCGTGGTTATTCTCATCCACAGTTATCTAATTGCCCTTTACTTGAGATTATAGTGCCAGCTGCTTAAGATGCAGTCAAGAAAAGGCAACATATGCTACAGTTGCTTAAGGATAATTTATGCAAAGCCCAGGAAAGGATGAAACTATATGCTGACAAGAGAAGGACTGATAGAGAATTTCAGGTTGGCGACATGGTCTATTTGAAACTACAGACTTACGGACAAACATCTATTGCTCTTACAAAGAAATTGAAGCTATGCTATAAATAGGAAAAATACATAAAAAGACACTTAAAGTTGGCCTCAGATATCTATCTCACACTCTCACTTGCAACTTGGTTGTCTAGTGGACACCCCCGTCTGGTAAGCTTAGAGCGTGAGTTACAATTGCATATGACATGGAAAAGTGACAAATAAAAAATTGACATGTGTAATTTTTGTAAAAAAGAAAAAGAAAAAGACTTCTCATTTAAAAAGAAAAAGAAAAACGTTAGAAAATCCTATTTACCATCTCCTTCACCGCCTACCCTCTTTCTTCTTCTACATAAATTTTCACCCATCTTTTTAGAAAATTCATCATCTCTATTCAATTTTATTTCCATTATTTTTAAAAAATTCATCATTTGCTTCAATAATTCATCGAAATGCTGCATTGTCATCTATTTACTCGTCGCCATTCTCGTTCCCATCGCCACCGCATAACGAAAATCGATGGTGCTGATGATTCTGACAACACAGTGTGGAGAATTCCACAGCGCTTGCACTTGCAAACTAGGGTTAAGTCTCGGTCGAGATTCATGGAAATATTAGCAACGATTCAATCGCCTGCTTGTCTAATCGGATGTTAGAATCGAATAAAATAATGCTTCTTATGTTGGCTTATCCTCTATTTCCACGGCTGCCATAAAAATCGTAACACTGTTTAGAATTATGGTTTATTGAATAGTGTGTTTGGTGTTGTTCTTGTAGGGGTCATAGTGTAAGGGTGGTGATGAGTTTGTGATGGTGGCGAAGAGTGGTGGTGGCTATGTCTTTATTGGAGATGAAGAAAGTGGGCCTCATATGAAAAAAAATAAAACAGAAATATAATTTTAAGAGCATTCACGCACCCAAAATTATGTGAAAATCAAATATTATTGCCATGTCAGCTCAGGGTGTCCACGAGATATACTGTGCCAAGTTGAAGTGTCTAATTGATCACTGAGTAAGTTGGAGTGTGAGATAGACATGTAATGCCAACTTTAAGTGTCTCTTTATGTATTTTGCCTTCTAAATATTATGGCCCTTACAAAATCCTTGCTCGGATTGGCAATGTAGCTTATAAGTTGGAGTTGCCCTCTGAATCAATGGTGCATCATGTGTTCTATGTGTCGTTGCTTAAGAAGAAGAAAGGCAACAAAGTTGTAGCTTAAACTACTTTGCCTCTCATGGGTGAAGATGGTGAGTTCCAGGTTAAGCCCATAGCTATTCTAGAAAGGAAGATGGTCAAGAAGAACAATATGGCTGTTGTTAAGGTGTTAGTTCAACAGTCTAACCTTCCACCTGAAGATGCCACTTGGGAAGACTACCAATTCCTTAAAGCAACATTTCCAGATTTCGATTCTTAATCCTTGAGGTCAAGAATTGTTTTTAGGGGAAGGAATTGTCATGAACAATTACCATTCACATTTCTAAATTAGTTAGTAGGAGTAGAAATTTGCTAAATAGAAGAGACGGCCAAAATTAGATAGGAATTAATGAGCATCAAGGGCTATGATCGAGCCACAGCTGTCAACACTGATAAAGGCTAACAACCAAGAGAGAGAAGGCATAACTGAATTCGGTATTTCCTCTCCCAAAAGTTGTCGTTGTTAGGGAGCGCCTTTACCCCTAATGTGGGTTTGGGAAGCAAAAAAAAAATGAAGTTTCAGCTTAGGTGCTTCTTTATTTTTAATGTTTTAAAGTGCCAAATAAGACCCTACTTTATTAATAACTTTTGTGACTCATTCATTCATGTAAACTTTTTGTCCACAAACAAACCAAAAAGAAAAATCAGTTTTCCGTGCATTTATACTGACATTGCATTAAAATGTCTTATTACTAATTCAAATTGAAAGGTGAGGCTGCAGTTTTTTTCCTTCAAAAATAGAAGGCAGAATAGCCTAAATGGCACTTATACTTGTCCCACTTTGTCATCCCGGTCCCCAAACTTAATGAAGTTTCATCTAGACACCTCTACTCGTTCAAAAGTAATATTTTAAACCCTTCTGACCGTGTGTGTTCCTCAATCGTCTCACTGTATTATCCACATCAGATAAAAATATTCCATGTCATTATTTTTATTCACAAAAATTATTTTTGGAAAAGAAAAAGTTGAATCCTAAAGTTTTCTCTCACAAACACATTCATGTCTTTCTCTCTCTGAAAATCAGCCATGTAGGGATTGAGTTTCCTTGATTCAAGAAATGCACGTGGGAAGTTGCAATTTGAGAGGATTGAGGGAATCAAACCCAGATTATAAGTTCTGGAGGAGCATACCGGAAGAAGAAAAGGCAAAAAACATCTGGTGAATCAAAAGAATCATGGCAAGATTCGCCCACTTGAGCTTCCATGCTCATCCCACCAACACCCCAACAAGAACAACAATCCATATGAGCCCCACAAACATCACTAGCTCTAACAATACCTCCCCAAAATTAAGAGTTTCTCAAATCTCAAGCACAGCCGCTACTAAAACCGTAATAACAAGCAAAAAAAAAAAAAGAAAAAGATACAATCCCCTATACCACCTTTGAGCACGACGTCAAAAAAAAAGAGGAAAAGATGAGAGGAGAAAGGGGTAGAAGGAAAAGAAAATTGGAGATTGGAAGACGCTTGAATGCTTCTCGGCGTTAACCCCCTTTATTTTTTCTTTTCTTTTTATTTTTTGGTATTTTTAGTTAGAATCATAAACTTTTACTCGCTTCTTAAAGCGTGTAGTCACGCATTTTATCCAACTCAGCAAAGCAAATGCCACATAGGCTTGGTCAATGGTCAAAAGGGTATAATATTACTTTTGAACGAGTAGAGGTGTCTAGATGAAACTTCATTAAGTTTGGGGACCGGGATGACAAAGTGGCACAAGTATAAGTGCCATTTAGGCTATTCTGCCAAAATAGAATGAAATAAAGAATGAGATAGTTTATCTTGTATCAATCATATAATCACTTTACGATTAGGTTAATTACCATTCACGACATTCTTGACTTCTCAAGGGGATATTTCTTACATAAAAGAATATAACTGTAATTTGGCTCAAAATAATAAACAAAAAACGATGATCGTTTTGTGGTTAATCCCTCCATCTCAGAAAATTTATTTTTCTCTTCTCTTTTAGTATGTTTATATTATGCTTCACTTCATATTATACTCCAAAGAGAAGTTCTACGGAGCTGTTTGGAGGCAAGAAGTGTTCATACAGATTGCATTAGGGCGATTAAGGATATGTATAATGGAATTAAGAATCGCGCTAGGGCAGTGGGAGGAGACTCAGGGTACTTTCCGGCTAATGCTAGGCTGGAGACATACTCTGGAAACTAAAGGTTTTAAGTTGAGTAAGACTAAAATCGAATACATGGAGTGCAAGTTCAGTGACGTAACTCATGAGAATGAAGTGGATGTGAGGCTTGATACACAACTCATCCCTAAGAAGGGTAGTTTCAAGTATCTTGGGTCAGTAATCCAAGATAGCATGGACTCATGGAGATCAATGAGGATGTCACAAACTGTACTAGAGCGGGATGGATGAAATCTTGCTTCCGGTGTCTTGTGTGATAAGAAGGTGCCGCCACGAGTTAAAAGGTAAGTTTTACATAGTGATGGTTAGACAATGTTATATGGGGTAGAGTGTTGGCCGGTTAATAACTCTCTTGTCTAGAAGATGAAGTGGTGGAGATGAGGTTGCTTAAATAGATGTGTGGGCATATTAGGAGAGACAGGGTTAGCAATGGAGATATTTGGGACAAGACGAGGTGGCCCCTATTGAGGATAAGATGCGAGAAGTGAGGCTGAGATGGTTCGGACATGTGAAGAGAAGATCTCAGATGCACCAGTAAGGAGGTGTGAGAGGTTGAACATGGTGGATGTTAAGATAGGTAGATAAAGACCTAAGAAGTATTGGGAAGAAGTGATTAGGCAGGATATGGTGCATCTTCAGCTTACTGCGGACATGACTCTTGATAGGAAGTTGTGGAGGTCGAGGGTTAAGGCACAAGGCTAGCAGGTAGATTAGCGTACTTCCCTTTTATTATTGCTCTTGTCCCTTCCATTCCGGTAGCTTTAGCATTGCTCTTGTTTTTTCTTGGATTTCTATTATTACCTGTTGTTGCTTCTGTTTTGATTTTGGTACTATCTCATTGTTGCTTCTGGTTCTTTTCCATGATTTATAATTTTATATTTCATTTCATTACTGTTGTGAATGTGTTTGCCTGAGCCGAGAGTCTATCGGAAACAGCCTCTCTACCTGCACAAGTGAGAGCAAGGTCTACATACACACTATTCTTCTCAAACACATATGAGAATACACTAGGTTTATTGTTGCTCGAAAAAGCAAGTAAGTAACGGAACAAAAATGCATTTGAAAGCGAACACATGTATTAATGAATTTAACTAAACTAACATGACATAAGTTAAAGATCAAACAAAGTAATTAAACCATTTCATATTTGTCAGCCACTGCATATCCATTGATGATATTGCTACAATATTTAATGCTTACAAGAATGTGCTTTAAAACCTCTTACCATAGGCTTAAACTTCTCCTTTGCCTTTATAATGCTAAGAAAAATCAGCCTATATAGAATTACCATTCCAAAAACAATAGCAATATCTCCCCACTTAGAATAATTCAACTCTACTTGAAAAATATCTCTCAAGATTTCATCGCGAGTAACAATCACAGCCAATCCTCCATTAGTAAAATATGTAAAAGTTTCATACTCGTTCTTGTAAAAACCTTGAATTGCATATTTGTGAAAGGCTAAATAGTACACTGGGTATTTCCAAATTGGCATAGGAAGATCCTTTTGCAAGCGAAAAAAACCTCCATTTAGCATCATTACTCCTTGAATTCCAGCACCTATAATTAGATGTGACAAAATCAACTCATTTTTTAGTAACTCGCCTAACACGTTCATGTTTAAACGGATTGATTATAAGTTATTTATTGACTTAGTTTAACGGATTGAACCCGAAACGCATAACCTAACATATCAAGATGCAACCAAAACCAAGCAAACAACAAACAGAAAGCTTGAAAAATTAGAATTACGTAAAGTTTAGAGAACTTTAGAAAAATATATTAACTTTCAAGTTTTATTTTCAAGAAGCAAAATAACCTAAGCAGGATGATTGGGTCAAGTTGGACGAGACTGGGTTATGAGCCGTTATATCAGCTCATCTTAACTCAACCCTTTTGACTCTAATAATGAATCAGTTGAGTCATGATTCATTATTGATTTGACCCACTCATCCACGTCTCTAAGTCAAAATTCATACATTCGTCACGTGTACATACCTGTGATGATTCCCATGAGGAAGTCGGGAACAATACTTGCAACGATCATCATTAGGCTCTCGACTAGCATCATACAAGCAAATAACATTAGGAAAAAATAGGCGAAACGATCGATCCCTTTTTGAACATCAGCAAGATAATAAGCCACTGCTCCAGGTACTAAGGAGATCAATAACAAGAATGGAGTTGAAGATAATGTGTTTCCTACGACAAATGCACTCACACCATAGTGCCCATTTAGCCTTTCTCTCGTAAAGAGCTGAGAAAATGATCAAAATTAAAATTAGAAAAGATATTTACACAATCATATCACTATAATATGTATTAATTGATAATCAATGTAAATAATTTTGCATTGTCGATGTAAGAAAATTAAATAAGGAATAACAAAAAACTATTAAAATTAACCTAAGTAGTTGTTCATCCAACCGCATAAACTAAAGTAACCGGAAAATATATAATATACGTATAATCCATGTATAACATGTGTATAACTGTGTATAATTGATGTATAATCAATGTATAGCGACTAGGAAAAGTGAATAGTGAATCTGTCTTGTTATTTGTGTAAAGATCCCGGAAAACTATAAGAAATCGAGGAGGATGATAAAAAGGAAGATTACTTTCATTTCCTCCACAAATGAAGGGAAGCCACCAATTGCCATAAATGTCAAGAAACCAACCACAAATACAAGCATTGAGCTTCTAGCCTGCAATGGGAAGAAAAAGAATCTAAATCTTGAAAAACAAAAAAGGGGTGCTTCTTTAGCTCATTTGTTTATATAATGACTTTAATTTTTACAAAATTGACCTGCTATAACTAGTTAAATTATACTGATAGCGTAAACAAATATTTACCTGAATGGAGCCATAATCAAAGCCAATTTCATGGAAGACAGTGCCAATGCACAAGCATAATGCAAGATATATGAGAAATCGAAGCCAGTAATAGCCTAAATCGCGATACATATTGACGAATGATCTTTGTGTTAGAACACGACACTGAGTGATGAATCCTGCTTGACTCCCCTTCTTCTCAAGCAAATGTCCATTCTACTACATACATATGAAATCAACTTAAATAATAATCGAGTTTAACTTTTATATACTGACAACGTAGCGCTAAGAAGCAAGTTTTGATAGCTTATGATGAAATAGTACAAAAAAAGGTCTACACGAATAATAGTATTAGTAGTTCATGAGGTTAATGTAAAAGTTTACATTGTTGAGTTTCATAAAAGATAACTACGTAGTACACGTATCATCTATAAATAGTGAGATCAGTAACTTGAAAAGTAATTAAGTACTGTTTATAATGATAATGCATATAAGTTAAATCCGAAATAATTTGGTTGAACTTAATTATAAAGAAGAATATAAAGGATATTTTTACCTTTTGACATATGTTGAAGACCCTTTGGCGAACATTGCGACAAGCTTCTGATGATTCATATGACATGGCAAGAGTGTCAATTGCTCTTCCTGAGCTTATATTTTTGCCAAATCCTTCTTCAATGTCCTAAAAATAATAAACAATTAATTATTTCAAAGATCAAAATATAACTTGTTCTGATTAAGTAAAACTGCATAATTTAATTTATTATGAATTAAATGTGTTATAACTTACATCGAAATCCTTGTTAATAGTTCTAAGATAGTGATCAGAGGGGTTCCTCAAATATGGACAAGGAAAGCCATTGATAGCAAAAAACTGGAGCAAACATAAGATATAAAAGATTTATCAGTATCCTTGAATATTGTCTAATTATATAGAGAATATTTGAAATATATTGTCATTTGGACGACAAAAATCATCTTTCATATGAAAAATATTTTTCTATGTTTGATTGATAATTGAAAAATATATACATACTAATTAATAATATTAATATTAACAAATCGAAAAGCATTTTAATGAAACCTTTAATTTGAGTATTAAATATCAATAATAACGTGAAATTTCTAATTGAGGAAAAAAGTAATAAGATATTAAAAAGTTAAGATGGTCGTAAGAAAAATTAAATACCTTCTGCCACCAAGTGGCATCAAACATTAAAAAATAATTTTCTGATGAATTAATATATTTTTCATTTAATGTCGTACCAAACACACCATCGAAATTAACGTTTATTAACTTTACTTACCTCATTTGCTGCAGAACTAGAACCAAAATAAATGGTTTTACCATAAGATAGAAGACATAAATTATCAAATAGCTCAAAAACTTCACTACTAGGTTGATGAATTGATGCAACAACAGTCCTCATATCTTGTTGTGCAATTTTAATAATTCGATTCATCACATGATAAGATGCTGCACTGTCCAAACCACTCGTAGGTTCATCAAGAAACAAAAGTTTTGGTCTTGTTAAAATCTCAATACAAATACTAACTCTTCTTTTTTGTCCACCACTTAAACCTTTTAAACTCCATCCACCAATTCTTGTATTCATTGCTTCTTGTAATCCCATTTCTTTTATTGTTGCTTCTGCTCTTTCTTTCTTTTCTGATAATGGCATTGATTCTGGAAGTTGTAGCTGAGCTGAATAGTATACTGTTTCTTTTACTGTCAATGTTGTCATTAGTGTGTCATCTTGAGTTACATAGGCCTGTGAGAAAAAGTTATAAATGATGTTATGTACCGAAGATACAAAGCATTTCGTATTCACGCAAGGTTCGGGGAAAGACCGCACCCTAAAGGGATGATGTAGACAGTCTACTCTGACGCAAGCATCAGAAGTGGCGGAGGCAGGATTTTAGCTAGGGGGTTCAAAAAAGAAAAAGTTAAAAAATTAAAAGAAATTGTATTGAACTAACGACCTAACAAAGATTTTGGACCCCCTTGACGGCTAACCTATGCTTTTGGGTTGTATCAAGGGGATTCAAAATATATTATATAGAGGTACAAACTAGATTTTGCCTTATATGCACAGTGTAATTTTTCGGCAAAAGGGGTTCGGGTGAACCCTCTTCCGCCTCCTAAATCAGCCCCTGATTATCAGTGGCTGGTTCCATGGCTCGAATCTATGACCTATATAGGTCATACGGATACATCTTTATTGTTGTTCTAAGGCTCCCTTTCCAATGTTATTTATGTTAGGTGTTGCCAAAATTTTCTTACCATATTTGTTTTTCCTAATTCATGAAGGAAAGGACAACATATTTACCATAATTGGGGTTTTCCTTTCCTAGAAGGAAAATATAATTCTTCCATCTTTGGCTAGTCCCTTTTCTTGTAGGAAAAGGTTTGGAGTTTTATAAATTGAGGATGCACCTTTCTCATTCAGTAGCATCCACAATGTAGCCATATGGGGTTTGAGAGTCGTGTTTAGGGGGAGAACTTTACGGGACAAGTGTTAGTGTGTCACTTGTGTTTGCCTCTTCGTGAGGTTGTTCTCTCAATATTTTTGTACTCTCTTTTATATAGTGGATTGCCCATCTCCGCTGTGGACGTAGGTCAGTTGACCGAACCACGTTAAATGTTGGTGTCTCTTTTGGTATATTTCTCTTTTGTTGTCTGATTTATCGTCGTTCAAGTGTTGCTTTACTAGATTCCGCATGACACCTGATTTTTTCGTTCCTAACAATTATCTAAGGGTGTAAAAAAAATTACTATATAATCAGGTCAACGATAAGGTAAATTAGAAGTAAATAATTATGATAACTGTTAATTGGTAACATGATAAAAATGTCAAAAATCTAAGGAAGAGAGTGTAACATGCATATTAATATTTCGAGATAAAATGTTTTTGAGTGATAAATAATATGCAAATTTCGTACCGAGGTTCCAAAAGCTAGTGCTTGTTTGCGGCCATTGACGAGTACATCTCCACTTTGTTTTGTGTTGGAGGCTAATCTTCCTGCAAATTTCCAAATTTATCACCATAATAGAGAATCATTAGTCATAAAGGCAGATTCAAAATTTTAATTTTGTGGGTTAGTGTTCGGATTTCAACTACTGAACCATTACCTTTTTTTGAGTTATGGGTTCATAGTTTAATATTTTTAATAGTTTCGCGCAAATAAATTCATATATAGGCTGAAAGTTACGGGTTCAATTGACCTCATAATTATACTATGGATACGCCTTGATAGTATTAATAAATAATAATACCATTTATTTTATCATGATTAATGAATCAAAAATGATAACAACGCTATTATTGAAAATAATCATTTGATGAAATAGCTAAAGTACAATATAAGCTTCACTTATATTCCATGTACATGTTATTTTAAACCAACCGCATGAAGCTTAATGCCTCTTTATGCTTTTTCTTTAATTGACCCATCAGTTAATTAACCCTATAAGATATTATCAACATTTATTAAGATTCCAATTATTGCAAAATCAAACGTTTGTACTGTCCAGCTTATAATTATTCTCATTCTTTCTTGCTTATTATTCTAATATAATTTTTTTCCGTCTAATATTATTAAACAGTCCAACCACTGTCTTATTTATAATACATGACTAAACGTGGGTGGGGTGGGGATAGGGGGATAAGCCGCTAACCTACTATTATAAGATAAGTTGACTTGCATATATTAAGTATAATTTCCAAAAATGATACATCACCAAGCCATTCTTAATAATAGTTTTCACCTTATGTGTATACTAGGAAATTGAGGTTACATTATTAGTACACTTAAAAACTAAGGGTTGTAATGAGATGTATATGATCATGTCATTCTTAATTAGAGGTCTCGGGTTTGAACCTTGAAAATAGAAAAAATTCCTAGTATAGTATTTTCCTTTTTAATGGGCGGCCTTACGTGGGAAGAATCCAAATTAGTTTGTGTTTCAATATGGATACAGAATACCATGTGGAAAGCTAAATAAAAGTATACTTAAATATATTTTTATTCTTAAAGTGAGACGCCATGGTCACCAACCATAGAATCATCAGTTTGTTGAACCAGCTCAACAAATATTATTTCTACCTCCCACCACAAATTATTCCATTAGATATCCCTTTGAGCCACACACAAAAAAAAAAAGACTTTGTAAAATAAGGTTTGCAAAAAAAAAAAAAAAAAAAAAAAAAAAAGTGACTGAATAAAGAATTAAAGAAAAAGTTCCTCCACTGTCGTCACCCATGATTCATTATATAATTAAACATAAAATGAATGTAAGAGAAAAACTATATTTTTCCTAACGTTAGCTACCATTAAGGAAGAATACCATGATGGGCAAAATAGTAAATCTATCATATCATGACCTTTTTGTGTCTATAATTTATAAAAGTATTTTATTGAGGGTAAATAAATTTAAATTAAATTAAATTATTTAAAAAAGGATGACCTTTTTTTTTGGACGGGAATAATAAAAAATTAATGCCACACATTTTTCGCGATTTTAAGGTTACTAATTATTTTGTACATATATCAATATTGTTCAGTCGGCTGGCTAGGTTGAGTTCGTATAATACGTACCTTTTTTTTCCTTTAATAAAGAGATCATCTTCTAAAGCTATATAGGTATCATACCAGTATGATTTTTTTTTTAAAAAACAAATATACACTAACCTTGTACACATTTTTACACTATATCTTGTTTTAATGGACCTACAAAAAGTAATTGTCTATAATATTATTCTTAATTTGATAACCTTAAAAATGCAGTAAATAACCTACTATAATTGTTAAAATATATTTTTAGTGTAAAATATTGTTTAAATCCTATCAATATTTGATTCTTGTTTCTTTTTTTTTCTTTTATAACCGCACAAATAATCATAGTTCTACATAAACATCTCGAACATTTTTCCTTAAAAGTTCTTTTAATTTGCATTAGAAACTAGCTAGGGATTCAACTTTAATATGCCATATAAATAGTACATGGTAAATTGGTGATGAACAAACTTTTCGGGAATAGTGAATCTCTTGGTAGTGAGCAATTTTCCTTTTTTCATGAACATATACGACAACAATAATCCAGTATAATTTCACAAGTGGGGTCGGGGAGGGTAGTGTATACGCAGACCTTACCCCTACCCTAGGGTAGAGAGGCTCTTTCCAATAGATCACCCTCGGCATCCTTCCCTCCAAGAACTCCCCACCTTGTTCTTGGGGTGACTCGAACTCACAACCTCTTGGTTGGAAGCGGAGGGTGCTTACCATCAGAGCAACCCACCTTGTCAACATATACTCGACGTGAATCCAGATTATCGAGCCAAGTAAGTTTCAGATACTAAATCCTAAACCCTAAACCCTTAAAAATAAAAAAATAAAAAATAAAAATTGGTAATGAACAAAGCTAAGTTACCTGCCAATGCATCAAGAAGAGTGGATTTGCCACAACCAGAAGGACCCATAATAGCCAAAACTTCACCAGGTTGAGCATAACCAGTTATTCCTTCAAGTATTGGCCTTCTTCCTACTTTTCTATCTGGCACTGTCACCCACAAATCTTTCCATGTTAAGTATAAGCCAGTATCATCATCTTCTAATGGATCACTTTCTTTCCTTTTTAGAGGAACTTCAGTTGGAGAATCCATATGGTATTAGATTTTTCTTCTTTTTTGGTGGGGAGAAAATGTTGCTTGTATTATAAGGATATGTGTAGTAATGTGCAATATATATAATGTTTGTGATCCCTTTGTGTGGAGGTTGAGGGGTAGGGAAGAAAAATTAAGAAGGAATAGTAGTTAGAGAAGGGAGGAACTTAGTCGTTTGGTTATCGGGACAAACAACGATTAACGCAGTGTAATTCCATAAGTGGGATCTGGGAAGGTTACTGTATACGCAGCCTTATTACCCCTATCTTGTGCAGGTAGAGAGGTTGTTTTCGATAGACCCACGACTCAGTCCCAGGCTCCCAGCGGCGAAGCTACATTATCTGATAGAAGGGTGTTCGTCAATTGACCACCCTCTCGTAGAAAAATTATACAGTGTATATAGATAAAATATTAGATTTTAGAAGTGTATAACATTATATACTGAACATACCTCTGTCGGAAATTTTTTTTTTTACTTCTTTTAAGTTGGAACACCCTTGTGAAAATTTCCGGCTTCGCCACTGCTCAGTCCAACATAGTCGTAGCATTAATGTTTGGTTATCGGGAGTAGGATTATAATCCTGGAATAACTAGAATTTGGAATTGTATTTATTTTATATTTAGTTATAAGTATTAGCTAATATCAGTACAAGTTAAGTGACCCTGAAAATTTTGTAACCAAACGCCCCCTAATTAAGGTTATTTCTAAGATATTTGATGATATACTTAAAAATGAGAAAATTCTTAGGTGTTTATACACATGGTAGTAGTTTAAATATACATGTTTTGGGCCTGAATCATTGTTAATCACTCTCTGCAAGTTGTATATGTATCCTTTTCATAAGTAGTTTGATTTTCATATACTGCATGCTGGTAAATAAGTAGTTTTTAATTTTCACACTATTAATGATTTTTATACAATTTTGAAAATTAATAATTAGATAAAAAAAACTTACATAAATTGGAAAACACTGGCAACATTCCGTTGAAGTAAAAATAAATTGCTACAACCTTTTGGCTGTTTACTAACAAAAAATTAATGAAAATGATGATGATGACGATGACAAGAACAACAACATCAATAATAGATGAGTAAGTTCCTCTATATTATTATTATTATTATTATTATTATTATTATTATTATTATTATTATTATTATTATTAATGTCAATAAACAAGAACAATACTTGTTGGCTGGGAAGTTAACTATTCGGGCTAAGTATATACGTATAGTCAGTATAATATTAGGACTATTATTGTTTGAATTTTGGCTGCACGTAAATTAAAGGTGGTTAACCTAAAAATAACTACCTTTTTTTTAATATATCCACCTTAGGATAACTTATGCCTTCTTGTCACTTGAAAATTACGATAACGAATTTTGGTTAGTGTAGAGTGACGATACTCAGTACAAAGTAAAAATAGCATGGTCTAGCCAGTTTTCGGACTGGTCATTCAAAAATAGTCAGCGTTTACCAAATCAATAAAAAATAGCTACTATTTTGGTGCAACAGAGACCGGTCCAGCATAATATACTGGAGTTCGGTGCACCTGTGTATGAACTTCCAGCATATTATGCTGGAACTCCAACACACGGAAAGTTCCAGCATAATATACTGGAGATTCGAGCACTTGTGTATGAACTTCCAGCATATTATACTGGACCGGTATACTTTGCTGGAACTCCAGTATATTATGCTGGAGTTCTAGTGTACTTATGCTGGAACTCCATCATATTATGCTGGAGTTCCAGCATACTTATCCTGAAACTCCAGTTTCAACTAAAATAGTGGCTATTTTTCTGTGACTTTATAAACGCCGACTATTTTTCGATTACCGGTTCAAAAATTGGCTAGCCCATGTTATTTTCACATAACTTTTCCAAAGAGGTATTGCATTTCGACTGTTACTCTACACTTTAAACTTGATCAAACCAAATTATAATGACTAAAAAAAACCAAAACTCTTGTATACCCAATATTATTTGACTAAATGATATATTAAGGAGTAACTAGAGATATCGGTTATATGATCCTTTACTAGCGGTGTCAAATTGCTTAAATTGACTCATAAGAAAACCTATCAAAATATAGAAAAATAAGTTTTTTTTTAGTTTAATTTTTTTGAAATAAATCAAGATAAATAAGGAAAAAGATTCTTTTAGCTTGATTTGACAATTAGCAAATTATAAAATAACAAACAAACAAATAAATGAGGGAAATTTACGTGGTATATAAATTTTAAAGAGTTAATTACATCTCCTACTAATTAATACTTCTTAAACTTTTCACACGTGACCATTTTGTTTTTAAGTTTCACACCATTTGTTTAACTTTTTAATTACACGCTATCCACCTTTTCAAATCCCCTAAGAAACTGCTACATATATCCCGTATAATTAGGAAATAAGATAATTTAATCCATACGTATGTGATATAATATAGGACATAAATAAAGTATGTAACGCATACTATTTATATACGTTTATTTAACGTTGTCGTGACCAATTCTTTAATGTTGCTAATAGCCAGAAAGTGCTTGGCCAATACAGCTTTTATACCATCTAGATTTTGGTTGAGAAATTGTAGTAGCTATCTAGGCATCTGGCACAAGTTTAGGGCAAAATAACAAAACTAGCCGGTCGCCTCGAACTATTTGCATTCGCTAGTCGAAAAGTATATAAAATATGTATCTTTTTGTATATAATACATATATGTACATTTTATCAGCTATTATTTTTTAGAGCAGCTAAAGAGATACATTTCTCCGAATTGTGTTTATATAGGGGCAAGTGCATAAAAAGTCATTCTCAGGGATGCTATTTAGAGACTAGACAATACTTATTTTGTCTTGAAATTTTAAAATAAAAATCTTAATTTCAGGATATTTTTGTCCTGAAAAACTGAAATTCAGGATATGCTGGCTAATCCCTAAATAGCAGCCCTTTAGAATGGCTACCTGGTGTCATTTCTACTTTTTTTTTTTATGGAGTCTTCCCTCTCTACATTTGAACTTAAACAAAGTCTATTGTACTTGTACTCCAGAATGATTTTGTTAGATTTTAAGAGTATTTTTAATACCCTGATAGTTTATGTTCATATATTCATATTTTTATGTTGCATATATAATTGCAGCGTGGACTAGCATCTGGAAATAAGAATTGAGCAGGCCACCCTAAAGATTACACGCTTGGCCTAAAAAAATTAAGGAACGTGAACTGCTTATCCTAAGGTGTGTCCTTCATAATCAAAAGGTAACAGTTCATTCTTTGTTCTTTCTTTACCTACTCACAAAGTCCTAAGTTTTAGCAAAAATGGTCATTTACCGATGAACCGCGAAATGCTGTGGTTCTTACATGTAATTTCTAAATTTATTCGAAATTAATTCACGAGATCATACACTTCTCTTTCCTAGTTATAATGAAAAGGGTACAGCTGGTTGATCCAACTTATTCTTGAAATAAACAACTTGGTTTTCTTTTACAACTCGACTATTGCATTGAATACTCTGTACCTCTCACGAGGATCCGGCGTCTAAGGTGTCTTGGATTTCTCGCAAAAGTAAGTATGCTCTTCCTTTCAAGCCTTCTGCCCTATAGATCAGGCTTACCTCACTAATCTTTTGTTCTCTCGGGATTTAGTTTGAGTTGTTTTCTCCATAGTTATTCTCAACCATTACATTGGACACTTGGTTTTCTTTTACAACTCGACTATTGCATTGAATACTTGCTACCTCTTAGGCTCTCACCAACACGGAAACCGGATAGCTTTGCTCATCAAGCTTCGACTAATGGGAAAAAATCACCCGATATATTACCACTGACTTCATTGACCACTAACCCGCACAACACAGAAGACCTTAGTTGATAGCTCTTATTAGTAAGTTAGGACTTTGTTCTCTGCAGATTATGCACTTCTATCCAGGAAAATGCCACTATAGGATGTATAACAAATTATGAAAATACAATCTAATAGCTGTAAAATAAGCAAAAATGTTAAGAAGGTAGGCAAATACTTTAAGACTCCACTGCAAAACCAGTATCTCAAAATAAAATTCATACATCAAGAAAAGGAGAAAAACTGAACCCACTTATACCCTAAACTTACAGTCCAAACTAAATTTTAATAAACAGAATGGCTACCGGACAACTCGACTAATTTTACTTGCTGTTCACTTCCCCATTGATCTCTGCAGGAAACCTATTTACCTCATTTGGTGAGTTGCTCTGCCCATGTTTTAACTTAGAAACTTTGGTTCCAAACAGCAGCTCAGACGCCCCGAGACCACATATAAGTTTTGAGTGGATGGCTGGTAACTGAGTTTATTGGATACCAAGGGAACAAGGATGCAGACTAAAAATACGGGTAAATTAGAGAGAGCCTACAGGCGTTGAGAGGCCATTCTTCGTTTTCTTAGTCGTTCAGCTACGATGAAGGAAAGTTCAAGAGACTGAGAAGCGTTCAATCTTGGGTCACAATGTGTGTGGTAGCGAGAGCCCAAATCGTCGTAGGTTACTGTTCGTGACCCGCCAATGCATTCAGTCACATTTTGCCCTGTCATTTCTAGATGGATACCACCGGGGTGGCTCCCTTCTTGCTCATGCACATCGAAGAAAGCTCGGACCTCGGCCTGACAGTTCAGCACAATATGACATTCAGATACAGGCTTTAAACTTTCATAATAAAAAAACAGAAACTACTGAAATCAAAGTCTGTTTAAAAATAAAATGAACTTTCAACCACATAAAATCATTTTCAGCTCTTTTTTGGGTGAAAACGCTCACAGATGAGACTTACCAGGATGGAATCGAAAGCACGGGTTTTGAGTCCGCATGGTGCCTTTATGGTGTTGCCGTGCATCGGGTCACAAACCCAGGTAACAATCTGTCCAGCTCCTCGAACTGCCCTGATCAAGTGGCAAAGCTTCACTCTCATATTCTCAGCACCCATTCTCACAATTACAGTAATTCTTCCGGGCTTATTGGTTGGGTTCAGGATGTCAATGAGTTTAACTAGCTCAGTTGGATCCATCTTTTGGCTCACC